CTTGAGAGAAGCTTGAGTCCATCTTCTAGAGACTGGGGAAAGCCTGACCTTACAGGGTGGTGTGAAGTTTGTGTTCATTTCTCCATGGAGACAAGCAGGTACATACCAAATTCTGTTCTGGTTTATTCTAAGCTAATTCACATAGTATTGTTCGTAATGGTGTTTCTCTGGAATAAGAATACACTGATAATCTCAAAACAGTAAATACAGTTAGTCCTTCCTGACCAGTAAGAATCCACCGGGCTTGATGTGCAGGGACCTGGATGAGGAAGGAAACAGCCGGTTGCAGAACATTTGTCCCAACATAATGGGAGATGGGCTTAAATGCACTCTTAAGAGAAGTAAACTGTTGCCTGTGGCTCAGTGACATGGTAAGTACAATGAGTGATGTCAGTAGAGGGTTAGGGGAGAACTGAGGGTTAAGAATTTCTAACAACGTGGGCTGGAGAGATGGCTCAGCAGTTAAGATCACTGGCTGCTCTTGCAGAGGACCTGGGTTTGATTCCCAGAACCCACATGGCAGTTAACAACTGTCTATAACTCCAATTCCAAGGCATCTGACCTCTTCTGGCCTCCACGGGCATCACACACATGAGTACACTTATATACATGTAGGCAAAACACACACAAAAAAAATTTAAAAGAATTTCTAGCAATGTGTTTTATAATTTAAAAAAAAAAACACAGGGTAGATAAGGACTGGAGAGCTGTCTCAATGATTCCTGAGTTTGTTTCTTAGCACCTATGTTGGGTGGCTCACAACCACTTGTAACTCCAGCTTCGAGAGATCCAATGCCCTCTTCTGGCTCTGTGGGCACTTGCACACATGCAGCATTCACTCACACATACATACACACACACACACACACACACAAATAATCTTTTTAAAAACATAATAGAGCCAGGCATGGTGGTGCACACCTTTAATCTCAGCATTTGGGAGGCAAAGGCAGACAGATCTCTCTGAGATTGAGGCCAGCCTTGTTTACATAGTGAGTTTAGGCCAGCTGGGGCTACAGGAAGACTGTCTCAAAATAAAGTAAAGCAAAAACAGTAGTTACAGGTTAATAATCCAAGTGAGCAGAAAATAACAGAGTTCCTACACAATGCCTGCTCCCACAGGCAGGCTTCCCACTGATGTCCTGCACCAGAATGGTACATAGGCCATAACTGATGAACTTACACTGACAGGCCACTATCACCAAAGGCCTTGAGTTCACATTAGGTATCCCTCTCTGTTGTGCACTCTAAGGGTTTGGGCAAATGCATAAAGACATGTATCTACCATAGTAATCATCAGAGCAGTTTCACTGTCCTAAAAATTTCTCACCTTGGGGCTGACTTCATGGTCAAGAGCACTTGTTCTTGCAAAGAACCTAGGTTTAGTTCCCAGCACCCAAAGGGCAGCTGACAACTGGGCAATGCACACATGGGTGCACTTACATACATGTAGTCCATAACTCCAGTTCCAAGGAATCTGATGCCCTCTTCTGGTTTACATGGGCACCAAGCATGCACATGGTGCACATACATAGATGAAGACAAACATTTATATACATAAAACTATTTTTTAAAATCTCTCCCCTTGCTCCTAGTCATCCCTTCCCCTGCTCCAATTCCTAGCCAACACTGCCTTTTGTATTGTTGCCATGATTTTGCCGTTTGCAGACTCTCAGAGGAATCACATGGTGCATAGCCTTTTCATTCTGGCTTCTTTCACTTACCAAAAGGAACACAGTGGTCTTTTCACAGGCTACCAGCTCATTTCTTTTTAGTACTGAACCACTGACTAGGTATACCATTCATCAACTGAAGAATATCCTAGTTCCTTCCAAGTTTTGTCAATTATGAACAAAGCCACCTAAATGTAAAGGCACAGGGTTTTGTGTGGGCATAAAATTTCAATTCATTTGGTTAAGTACCAAAGCGGAGTGTGCTTTGTAAGAAATTGCTGAACAATTTTCCGATTTGTGCCATTTTGCACTCTCACTGGCAATAAATTAGAGTTCCTGTTGCTTCACATCCTTGTCAACACTTGGCATTGTTTCAGATGTTGTCTATTCTATTAGGTATGTAATGTATGTTGCTTAATGATGCCACATGGGGCTGAACATCTTTTCATATGCTTGTCTACCATGTGTATCTTTAGTGATGGGCCTGTTCACATTATTGGCCAGAGTTTTAAGTTGGAGTGATCACTTTCTTACTGTTGTTTTAAGAGTTGTGTATTTTAGGCAACAGCCCTTTATCAGATGTCTTTTTGCTTTTTAAAATTTTATTTGTATTTTATGTGTATGAGTGTTTACCTACATGTATGTATGTGCACCACATGCATGCCTAGTACCTATATAGGAGGCCAGAAGAGGGTGCCAGATCCCCTGAAAGTGGAGTTACAATTGTTAGCCACCATGTGGTGCTGGGAGCCAAACCCACGTCCTCTGCAAGAAGAGCAAATTCTCTTAACCACTGAGCCCTTCCAGCCCCAGATGTGTCTTTCATAAGCAATTTCTTCCAGTCTGTGGCTTGCTTTCTTATTCCCTTTGCTTTGTTTTGCAGAGCAAGATTGAAAATTAGAAAATAATCTAGTAGATTTATGCACCTGGAAAGGATGTTGGCCAATGGATGCACACAATTATTTTTTTAAAAAGATATGCCTCCAAGTTGGGTATGGTGGCGCATGCCCTTAATCCCAGCACTTGGGAGGCAGAGGCAGGTGGATCTCTGTCAGTTCGAGGCCAGTCTGGTCTACATAATGAGTTCCAGGCCAGCTGCGACTACAGGGAGACCCTGTCTCAAAAAAGAATCCCCCCCTCCAAAAAAAAAAAAGAGATATGATATGCCTCCAAACACATGGCAACCTATTTCCTCTTGCTGAGGTTACCTGTTAAAGCTTCAGGTACCTGCCACAACAGTACTACCAGGTTAGACCCAGGCCTTCAACATATGAGTCTGTGGGGACACTGCATATGCAAACCACAACAATAGCCATAATAGTATTAAACTTTTAAAGAAAGAGCTTTCATTCCATTACTTTTTAAGTTAATGAATAGTTGTTTATACTGTGGGTTACCTGTCACTGTTCATAGAAAACAGAACAATATCCAACAGACCTACCCTTTTCCCCCATATCATCTCATTAGCTGGCATACTGTTTGCTACAATCATATCTGCTTTGTCTAAATAAGACAAGCTGACAATCCCCTCACTATTTTGTATCATTAAACAATTAGATACCAGTAGCGTTTGCTGATGACCTCAATACTTTCAGATGCTCGAGTCCCTCTTCAGCACTAACACTCTCTATCCTCTGACTAGCACAGCTCTGACCAGCACACATCATTTTGCCGGAAATCCCACTCCTCCTCGTACAACCCGAGAAAAGATCTAGCCACATGAAAAATTGTACAAATGCTCATAGCAACATTATTTACAGTAGCCACAAAAATTCACAAAACCTATGTAACCATCAACTGATGAACAGATAAACAAATGTGATAAATGATACAATGGGAAGCTAAGCATTTGGTACGTCTGTAATGACAGCACTCAGAAGGCAGAGGTAGGAAGATCCCTGCAAGTTCAAGGCCAACCTGGGCTATATAGTGTGTTCCAGGCTAGCCAGAGCTACACAGGAAGACACCATCTCACAAAACCAAACTAGGAGTTGGAAAGATAGTTCAGTGGTTAAGAGGACCTGTTGCTCTTACAGAGAACCTGAATTGTTTCCCCACACCCTCATTGGGTGGCTCACAGCCACCTCTAATTCCAGCTCCAGGGGATTCAATACTGTTGTACAAGAGTGTTCTGAGTCAGACAGCTACCATCTTCCTGAGCTCAGCTGTGCCTGCCCACCAGCTTGTTGACTGCTGATGTTCCACACAGGAGGAAAGCAGGGAGAGTCACAGGACCCTGAGTATCCAGCCACACTTCCCACCAATTGCCCTGGCCTGAGGGAAAGGCTAGAGTATATGAGCTGGGGAGACTAAGGGAAGGGCTATTTATGCGGCTATGGGGAAGCCATCATCCATGCCCCGTGAAGACATGGTTTGGTGGAATCATATGTTGGTGGAGGCATAGACCTCATTTACATGCCCCTGCCAAGGAATTTTAGCAATAAACATCCTCTGCAGGCACTGTACTAATGTACACAAAGCCATACTCACACACTTAAGACACACACACACACACACACAATTAATAAATTCTTGGGGCTGGAGAGATGGCTCAGCAGTTAAGAGCACTGACTGCTTCTGCAGAGGACCCGGGTTTGATTCATAGCACCAACATGGTGGCTGACAATTGTCTGTTAACTCCGGTTCCAGGGGATCCAACACCCTCTTCTGGCCTCCATGTACACTGCACGACACAGGTACACCTACCTACATGCAAGTAATATACTCATACACATAAAATTAAAATAAAAATCTTTTTAAAAACCAAACAAAAATAATAATGAAGGGCGAAAACCACACAGTGGGGGTATTTTTGGTCATAAAAAGAAACAAATGGTATTATGCTCATCATATATGAACTCTGAAACAGTATGCTAACAGGAAGGCAAAGAAGTCACCTGCTCGATGGTCCCATTCATATGAATGCCCAATAGGCAAATCCACAAGGGCAGAAAGTGTATTCGTGTTTACCAGGAGTTGGGACAGAGGAGGTGGGAACTGACCTCTGCTGAATGAATTTTGGGGGATGACAAGATATTCTGAAATTAGCAGTGATAGTTGGATTACTCTGTGAATATATTAAAAACCAATAAATTGCACACTTTAAAGATACACATTTGGGGCTATAGCTTAGTGGCAAAGTGTCTGCCTAGCACGTACAAGGTCTTGGATTGGATCCCCAGCAACATGCAAGAAAAGTGAATTTTAAGGTATGTGAGTTACATCTCAATAACATTATTACTCAAATAACAAAAAATGCCGATCAACATGATCTCCTATTTCTCACAGGCTGGAGGGTCAAGTTATACCATTCCAAGGGAACAAGAAAGGAAAGTATCATTTATTGAGCCAAAGAGAATCTGAGAATCTTGATACTAAGTAGTACATCTGATAGCTTAAAAGAGTTTTCATATTCTGATCAGCAGTGGCTTAGTTACTCATCTGGCTATCTGGAAAGAACACCTTTAAAAGGAAAGATTGTTTTCAGTAATATGAAAACGGAAGCATACACGAGCTGCCCATGTGTGACAACAGGTCTGATGAGGGCCAGTGAGAAAGCGTCAAAGATTGAACTAAAACTTAAAAGCAGGAAACACCAGCATTCAGAAAATTTTCAGCACATGGTTACCCAGAACGAATTCTTTTCAAGTTCTAGTTCGCTCTTCTCCCCACTTTAGGAACCCTCCCAAATGGCATTTTCGTGGTGAGCAGAGTTGCGGTGGGGCTCTCGGGAGAGCTGGGAAGTATCTGTTGGACAGGCACTCTGGTCACAGCAGCTCTGCTCCCTAGCCCCAGACCGGGCACGATGGAGTTTCTTTTTAAGCCAGAGGAACCCAGTTCAGCATTTCCTCTGTTACTGCCAGGCCTGTGTGGGTGTTTGCAGGCAGAGCTGCATGTGCTACGTGCTGGCCCTGCTGTGCCACACTGACTGCAGGACTGCTTAGAGCTTAAAGAGAGAGGAGCTGACAAGTTTCTTGGACTGTATTCACATAAAAATGAGGGAAGATGGCTGTCAGTTGTCAAGGTCTCTGGCTAAGGTTTCACGGATGAACTGCAGAGTACGCTGGTATAAAAAAGCATCCTTTTCCTTTGGCTTGCAGATGTTCAAATGGTTAACATCCACAAGGATTAGCTCTCCAATGCCTAAATCTGAAGAAAAGAGAAATGTCAGTAAATCAAAGGAAAAAGCATGGCTTCCTTCCCCGTTTGCTTCTAAGAAGGGACCCAGCAGACAAAGGACTATACCACCTGCCTATAGCTAAACATTTGACTCAATGTGTGAGAATGGATTGTCAGTAAGTAAATTCTCATTGTGTGCTTTTCCTAGTGTCCCTGTGTGCTCCGAATACTTTATAAGTTCACAGTGAGCAGAGCCTGAGCACTGGTGTAGAAACCTCCCTGTTCCTGCAGGCTAGTATTAAATCATTCTGCAGAACTTACAAGAATGGGAATTCTCAAGCCTGGTGTGGTGGCACATGCCTTTAGTTCCAGCACTCCGGAGGCAGAGGCAGACAGATCTCTGTGAGACTGAGGTCAAGCCTGCTCTACATAGCGAGCTCAAGGCCAGCTGGAGCTGCAGGGAGACCCTGTCTCAAAATGAATTTAAAAAAAAAAAAAAGGAAAAAAAAAAGAATGAGAATTCTCACACGGGGCCCATTCTAGACCTAAATTCCTAGATCATTCCTGGTGGGGGGGGGGTCAGGGAGGAGCTGTGTGATAGGGGACAAGTTAGTGCTTGACTGCTTGAGACCAGAAAAGATTTCTGACATTTCAATCTGACAAGTCCACCTGGATGCAGGGGAGGAGAGATGCCAGTGAGGCCACTGCCGAGTGGAGGGATGTGGGTAGTAGGAAGAGCCTCCGTCCATGGAAGATGAGGCGCAGTTATGACAAGGCTATGTCTGCAGCAGCTGGGCAGGAAGCATATTGTTTTGGCTTCAAGTTTCCCAAGACTTTTTCTAAAGATACCTGGCAGCTGGCCTTTGAACTTGAGCAGCTACTTAGCAATGTGAAGCACTTCCCATTTTACATGGTAATATCATGAAACGAGACAAAGCTCATCGTGCAGGAGGCAGGCACTCTGGACACACTGTCTCCAGACACAAAGAGCTCATAGATGGCTGGGAGTTACCAGGACAGCACCTAAGCCAGCCTCAGAGGTAACCAGAAAAGGGTTCCCGGAGATGGCAACCAAACTGAGGCCATGGTCAGTTTGGGGAAATGCATGGGGTGGCTACAATCTAGGGGGCCCTGAGGAGAGGCTGGATGGAGGGTCTACACCATGGCCACAGGGATTAGCCATTTCCCTATGCCAGGTGATGAAGAGGTTGGACTTCACTATTCTTTTTACCCCTTTGAAATATTTCCTTCTTGAACATTTCCTATGTATATTCTATTTCCAAAGCTTCCAAACTTTCATACCCTCCATTTACTAAAACTTTCATGTTTATCAACAGATTTCCTTCTCTATGCAGCTACTGCTGTTAAAGGCACACCCCTGTTAATCTAGCCCACAGAAGTGCGTGTATTCTTAACACAGGAGATGTTACTGTTGATGCCTTAGGAGCTAGTTACTTAACCTCTGCCATCCAATCAGTCAAGTAAAGGTAGGAGGGCTAATGCCAAGGCTGTATGCTTGCAGAAAAATTTTAATCTACCACTAAGAAGTATAATGGAGATTCTGGATTTTCATAAAACTTTCTCCAAATACATGCCTAAGAAAATGGATATAAAAACTGGCATTTACAGGGGCCGGGCGTGGTGGCGCACACCTTTAATCCCAGCACTCAGGAGGCAGAGGCAGGCAGATCTCTGTGAGTTTAAGGCCAGCCTGGTCTACATAGTGAGTTCCAGGACGGCTGGGGCTACAGGGAGACCCTGTCTCAAAAAGACCAAAAAAAAAACCAAACCTGGCATTTACTATTAAATGCAAAGTCCCACCAACCAGGCACGCAAGGCCTACACAACTCGAGGGTGAGTACCTGCTGACTCCACGGGCACCACGTGCAGTTTAATCATGCTGCCAATAAATGTTGGTTGTGTTTCTACAAAACTCAGCACTTGGAAGTTTTTGTCTTTTGCAAACTCCAGAAAGTCATCCTGTAGTACTTTAAGTGCAGGAGAATCTGTAGTTATAGAAAATGAGATTTTGACAAGTTTTATTTACTCAACTCAGAATAAAAGGCAGTGTAATTTGTAATCCCACCCCTGGAAAGAGAGAGACAGGAGGACCCCTGCAGCTTGATGGCCAGCTGCCTAACCAGTCAGTGAATTCCAGGTTCAGAAAGAAACCCTGCCTCAAAAGAATGAGGTGGAGGGGCTGGAGAGGTTAGGAGCACCAGCTGCTCTTGCAGAAGACCTGTATTTGGTTCCCAGCACCCACATGGTGACTAAAACCATATGTAACTCTAGTTCCAGAGGGTCCAACACCCTCTTCTGACCCTGGGCACTGTATAACATGAGTGCACTTACACACATGCAGGCAATATACCCATACACATAAAATAAAAATAAAATATTTTTTAAAAAATGAGGTGGAGGGGAACTGAGGAAGACACCTGACACTGATCTCTGGCGTGCATTCACTGACACGCAGAAGAGAACAGGATCATTTATTCAAAAAAACAAACCCTGCAACCAAGAACACCATACCCAGCAAAAATATCCTTCAAAAACAAAAGAGAAATAGTCTTTCCCAGATAAGTAGAAACAGGAAACTCATACCACCAGACCAGCTCTACAGGAAACACTTAAGGAAGGTAATTCTGATGGGAAAGAACAGAGAACCCCTAAAACTATCAAATCATAAAAATGAGAAGTAGAAAAGAACTAAACTACCCCAAAGAAGCAGAATACATAGACAAGAGGACGTCCACTTCTCAGTAACTCATATAAATGGGCCAACTATGACCTGCCTATAAGAAATTCATTTTACTCATGAAGTTACCCGTAAACTCAGAGTGAAGTGTTGGAAAAGCTATACTATTATTGGACAAATCAAGCTTCAAATTAAAAACAGTAACAAGGGACAAGGTCATGATATATTGATAAAAGGATCAATTCAGCAAGAACATATAACAATTATAAATATGTATGCAGCCAACATGGGACCACCCAAATATAAAAGCAGATTAGATCTAAATGCAGCAGTAGATTCTAATTTTGTAGAGAGTCCAGATCCCATTTCCCATAATGAACAGAGCATCCAGAACAGGTACGCCATACAATAGACAGTGAATGGGCCTAACACATAGAACGTTCTGTCCAAATCAGCAGAACTTTCACATTCTTCTCAGCAGCTTTCTCTAGAATAGGGCTTAAGTTAGGCTACAAGTCAAGTGTCAATGGCAAAACAGTGCTTGCTTTATAATTAACATACCATCACAAAAATTCATATGTGGAGTGTGTGTGCGTGTGTGTGTGCACGCATGTGTGTGTATATGCAGTATGTATACACACTTTTTTTCTCTTGAGAAAGGGTCTCACTATGTAGTTCTGATTGGTCTGGTGTCTGGAACTCACCACGAAGACCAGTCTGGCCTCAAACTCAGATCTGCCTGCCTCTGCCTCCTGAATGCTGGGATTAAAGGAGTGTGTAAAGTTAATTTCTATTTTACTGTTAGTGATTTCCCAAATTCATAGAAAAAAAAGCACACACTTGTAGTCCCAGCACTTGGGAGGCAGAGGCAGGTGGATCTCTGTGAGTTCAAGGCCAGCCTGGTCTACATAGTGAGTTCCAGGACAGCTGGGGCTACAGGGAGACCCTGCTTCAAAAAGACAAAAAATAAAATAAAATAAAATAAAAAAATAAAAAGAACAAAAAGAGATATCAGCCAGATGTGGCAGCACACACCTTTAATCCCAGCAGAGGCAGGCGGAGCTCTGAGAGTTCAAGGCCAGCCTGGTCTACTTAGTGAGCTCAAGGCCAGCTAGGGCTGCTGGGGGACCCTGTCTCAGGAAGACCGCAAAAAAACCAAAACAACAAAAAAGAGAGACATCAAAGAAAAGAATCATGCCCAAGGCAAAAGTTTTTGTGAATAATCTAAATAAATTCATATGCAAATTAAAAACAAGATAATATATTTAAAGAAGTGCTTTTCCCCTTCCTTCCATGTTACTAATGTTATACAACCCCAGTATCCATCACAACAGAAAGTTTTACCTTTGCTGAGTTCTTTGACTTCCAGAGAGGGGAAGAGAAGATAGCGGATATTAACAGAGTATTCAGCCAAATGTGATCCATGATGAGGGACACTGTAGAAAAGTAACCCTCTGGTGTTGTTTACAATGGTGCTCAGCTCTGGCTTCTTAGAGGCCTCCAGCAGCATCTTCTTGACAAGAAGACCTAGCCACAGAGGAGAGGGAACAGCAATGGGCTGCCTGCCTTCCTGCTAATCTTCTTTTTAAAGAATAAGCAAACAAAACAGAGATGCTTTAAAATTCAAAAAAAATTTTAAACATTTTCTCTAGTACAAGAAACAAGGCTTTAAAATAATAAAATATTAACACGTCACATGACTGGCTAGCTAAAATATTCAGTACAAGTCTATAAACAGGTAGAATGTCTATAACCTACTTTGTGGGACAGGCCCCTCTAGCACAGAGTGTACTCCCCTGGTGGAGGAGAGTCAGGCCCTACCTGAGCTATGAGCTGTCCCTAGATGGCTTCAGCAGCAGGTGTCTTGGTTGGCCAGGAGAGCCCACACCCAGGAGACTGCTGAAGGTCACGGTCCCACCAAGGAAAACCAGCTGCTGTGGGAAAGGCGCCCAGAGGGCATCTTCTCCTCTGTCCCCTTCTCCATTTCTAACCAGTAATACAAAGATACTAGGCACAGTGACAGGGGATGTTTGCTGGCCAGAAGGGCTACACCCACTTTCCTCTCAGCAAAATGCTCTGGCTGAGGCTCAGCCTTTCTGAGCCACAGTGCATCTCACACCCAAGCCCGGGGTTAGGCAAAGGCCTTACAAAAGGAGGACAGAGAATGCAGAGACTAGTTTGGGGGAGAGGGGAGGAGGAGGAGCAGGGCATGCAGCTGAAGGAACCAAGCTGGACGCTCGGGAGCCATGACACAGCAGCCGCGACACATCCTCAGCAGCTCAGGGGACCTGGGGGCTGGGACTCAGTGGAGCACACAGGCAACGGCAGTTGGCCATGTGGAAGAGGCATGGGGAGGAAGAAAGCGGAAACCCATGGGGCTTGAGGGATGCTGGCTTATCCAAGCCCAGTGGTAAACATCTGCAGTGTGGTATGACTCACGAACACATGGAACCATCAAGTTATCAGTCATGCCTCCTACTTGTTTGCTATTAGCTATCCCCTTCTAGAAAAGCAAACATGGAAGGAGAGTAGGAACTAAAACTTAGCCACAGCCCAAAACATTAACTTTGCAGGGAGGAGCATAGTAAGTAAAACAGAAAGATGCAGAATTATTGGTTGGCCATAACCTTGACAACCACCTCATGGTGGTCACTCTGAAGATGAAACCATCCTTACCTCCCATGCTATGTGCTATCCAAATCACTGGCCTATCCCCAACACCAGCAGCTCTGAGCTTCCTAAGAAGTTCGTTGCTTCTGAATGCAATGGACTTTCTGAACAAAACGAAAACAGCAGGCATCACGGGAGGCATCGATCCCCTAAATCTTGCTAAATTTTTAAGTCAGGAACTTTTGCTTACTCGGTGACTATCATGTGCAACATCTGGAGTGCAGGATACCCTAAGCTCTCTGTTCAGTTTCTGAAGTTGGTCATTCTCCATCTGAAACTTGTTAACACTGGCATAGTTAGAACTAGCTAAGCCCATAACAAGCCACTCAGATACTAACAAGTATTACTGAAACATCAAATATGTCTGGTGATTTGTACAGGTCAAACTTGAGTCTCACCCCAGCTGCTCCAAGTGAATGGGGGGTGCAGGGACACCTTACTCATCCCACACCCTGACAATAAAAGACCTGGTTGTCTCTTCAAAGCTTTAATCCTGCTTGTGTTTATGCTGCTAATATTAAGCTTTCATCATTTGGATTTATTTAGAAATACTAGGAAACTGAATCAGAGCTCCAAGTCAGTTCTGTCAGACTAAATGGGAACTTGACAGTTTAGCAATCTGATAGCTTCACACTGTAGCTGTAATGCCATTTTTGAGAACAGATCCCCCAGTGCTCCTCTGGGGGACAAAGGGTAGCCTCAGTACTGTCTACTTGCCCTCATTGACACCCTTTTGGGGCACCTATGTAGAGTCTGCTCAGTGAATATGATGTGATGTTACTGAATAGGTCAGCTTTGCCCATCTGTGAACAAAGCTTCCTAGACACTTTCAATGACTCTCCTAAGAGTTCACAGTAAGTCAGAAGTTGGACAGGTCTATGACCCAGGTCCTGGACTCAGGAAACCAGGGCTCCTTCCTATGTACTCAGTTGGCACATGGGACATAAAAGGATCACAGGGACCAAAATTGCTCAACATTTTTTTCTTTGCTTTCCTTAGCTTGTAGGACTGTGAACACACAGCAAATATCACTTTCACTTTTAGTAGAAACGAAGGCTTTGCTACAGATCGGTGTTACTTCACTATTCCAAGAGTTACAAACGAGGGGCTGGAGAGACGGCTCATCAGTTAAGAGCACCAGCTACTCTTACAGAGGACCTGGGTTCGATTCCCAGCACCCACAGTGTGGCTAACAATTGTCCATAACTCCAGTTCCCAGGGATTCGACACACTCTTCTGACTGCAGGCATTGCATGACACGGATGTACTTATATATAAAAGCAGGTAATATACTCACACACATAAAAATTAAATTAAATTTAAAAAAAAAGAGTTATAAATAAGCCAGGTCAGGAACTCAACACTGGCATTACATCTAAACTTTTTTTTAAAGATATTTTATCTATTATTTTTATGTGTGTGAGTGTATTGCCTGCATGTATGTGAGTGCACCCATGTCACGCAATGCCACAAAGATCAGAAGAAGGTGTCAGATTCCCCCGGAACTGGAGTTAAGGATGATTTGTAGCCACCATGTAGGTGCTGGGAATCGAACCCAGGTCCTCTGCAAGAGCAGTCAGTGCTCTTCACCGCTGAGCCGCCTCTCCAGCCCAGCTTCTCCTATCTTATTCTTAGTTAGAGCTAACTCCTTCCAGAAGGGAGAGAAAAGAGGTGGTAGACAACTAGAGCACTTTCTCAGCAGGCACAGGAGCCCGGGTTTGATTCTCAACACTCCTGCCTGTGATAAAAATCACTTCCCACGGCAGAGGTCCCCTCCCTCCCAGTCTGACGTCCCCTCTAAAGTTACCTTTCTGTAGGGCACCTTGCTCGCCAGTCACTGAGGGTGGTGTCATACTCCACGGATATAATGCGGAGTGCAGGACAGTCTTTTGCTAGCCACGTCTATAAAATAAAAGGTACATGAGAACAGGTACTTTCCCCACCGAGCCCCTCCTAGTAATTACCATGTGGAGCCAAAGTCCCATTGAGACAGACAATTAAAGATGACATTGGAATAAAATTAGAAGGTGATGACAAAAATAAGCATTTTCTCTTTTTGCACCTCTGGTCATAAAGTGGTATCAATGTTTATACCAGAAAATATTCTCAATTTTAATCCACCATCACCAAAATCCAGGCTTGTTTGGGGGGCAGTTAGATTTGAGGAGCTTTTAGCAGTTAGTAGAAAGGTCCATTCCAGGACAGACTGTGTTCCCTGATAGCACACACCGAGATTGAGAATTCACAAGTCTAAGGACAATGACAGCCCGTCTCTGGGCACCCTGGCTGGTCATCTCCAGACCCCAGCACCACTGGAAAGAAGAGTATGCCATCCTTTCTGAGGAGTGGCCAGGAAACTATTTACATCTACAGTGAGCATCAGTTCTACACAAACTTTGGATAAACTTCTTTCAATGAATTCATTCCAGAGTTAAGGCTCTTTGGAAGAAATGATATCAAAGAAATGTAAAGTAGGATTATACTTTCAAAGTTTTCCTACATTTATAACTATTAAAATAAGATCGGCTATTATAAACAAAGTTATGGCTATATTTTTTAAATTATACATCAACAGAGTGAACTATTACACTCTTACTCTATTTTTCACTTGTGAAAAATTTTCTAGAGTCATAGAACGTACCCTAAAAAGAATTTTCACAACCTAGGGTCACAAGCCTAGCTGTTAATGTAAACATCCTAAGACGTTCTAGAGAAAAAACAACTGCATGAGAGAAATCCAGTGAGGAGAGTCAGAAGTAAGTCACAAGAAGGCTGCACGATGGGCGGCCACAGCTGCTGCTCCTTACCTTGGGCCAGCATGTCGTGTACTTTTCTTCATCTTCCAAAGCATTTTCAGCCTGACCCCGCTCACTGTCCTGCTGGCGCCAGGTTTTGAACGCTGCTCCCATAAGGCCATGAATAAAAAGGACATCGGCTTTAATGGGCTGACTAAGAGGGAAGAGAGTTTTAAAAAGAAGCAGAATAAATGCATTACTACTGTGGTATAAATCCACACAGTGTTCGCTACGGACAGTGCAGGCTGGCGTGACATAGAGAAGACTTATTTAGGGCAAACTTTATGGATATAAGGTTGCTGAGGAATCCCGGGAATTTTCACAAAGACATAGAGCATGTTCACCTTCCTTCAGTAAAAACAAAGACACATTTCGATGGGCATAACAACCACAAGTCACGAGAATGAACCCAGTGAGTGATGCCACCGAGAGAGTACCCTCCATTAAAGTACTACACAGATCAACTAAGGTATTTAAGAAATTAGATAAAAGTATGCTAAAGTCAATGTAAGTAAGAAATCTCAAATTAAGGAAGATGTTTATTAGAAACAGCAAATGTGAATTTAAAGTAACAATCTTCTTTGGGTATGACATTGAAATGATAGCTTACATTAGTAGTGAGATATTTACAGTATACACACATATAAAATATATAATGTAAAGTAACATTTCCAACAAAAATCATAGCTGCACTGAAGATTGGACGAAGCTGACTTATGGATTAGAACTTAGTGACTGTGGAGAGTTGGAATGTTATAGATTCAGAGTCAGAATTATCTTGGCATTTGGTCCCTATCTACTACAGCTGACCTAACATCCTTTCAACTATCAGGTAAAACCTGATATATAAACTTAGCAGATCACTAGCTTCTATGAACCCCAAAGCTAAGAATGTCTTTAGATAATGCCTGAAACCTATTATGGGGTTTTCCCCACTTTTCAGTAAGGCACCTGCTATGTCCACCAATGCACTGACTTATGACTTTCTCTTGTTCTGTGACTATGAAAGATTCATCTAACTGCTTCCACACTGGAGCGTGTCAATCAGAACAACCTATTGCTAGGCTATAGTCACTTGTATTTGGCTCAGAATGAACTCTTACTCTCTTTGGAGTAAGAGCTATGTTTTGTGAACAGTTAGTATCTGAATGTGGGGCCCCAAGGATGATCCACTGTTAACGAAAGAAGCATTCAGATCACCAAGTACTAGCACAGGCCCTTTATGCCCAGCTGTCCACGTTGCCACCACAGATGGATGATGTGAGTTCTGTCTGGGATCTGGACTTCCCTTTCATTGCTGGATATTCTCTTATTGTTCCAGAGCACTCAGGGCACCTAACACACAGCACTCACTCAGAGAGCCTGGTACAGAGCACTCACAGCATATAGTAAACAGCACTTACCACACATGGCACAGAGCACTCACTCAGAGCACCTGGTGCAGAGCACTCACAGCATATAGTAAACAGCACTTACCACACATGGCACAGAGCACTCACTCAGAGCGCCTGGTACAGAGCACTCACAGCATATAGTAAACAGCACTTACCACACATGGCACAGAGCACTCACTCAGAGAGCCTGGTGCAGAGCACTCACAGCATATAGTAAACAGCACTTACCACACATGGCACAGAGCACTCACTCAGAGAGCCTGGTGCAGAGCACTCACAGCATATAGTAAACAGCACTTACCACACATGGCACAGACCACTCACTCAGAGCACCTGGTACAGAGCACTCACAGCATATAGTAAACAGCACTTACCACACATGGCACAGAGCACTCACTCAGAGCACCTGGTACAGAGCACTCACAGCATATAGTAAACAGCACTTACCACACATGGCACAGAGCACTCACTCAGAGAGCCTGGTGCAGAGCACTCACAGCATATAGTAAACAGCACTTACCACACATGGCACAGAGCACTCACTCAGATCACCTGGTGCAGAGCATTCATAGCACATAGTACAGAGCACTCACTCACATTAGCGAATGGGCCAGCAACCCCAGGGATCATCTGGTTTCCGCTTCCCTAGTGCTGGAATTACAGGCATGCACCATTGCACCCTACTTTTTTATGTGGGCGCAGGGACCCGAACTCAAGCCTTCATGCTTTGCACAGCACTTTACCAACTGAGCCACCTCCTCAGCCCTGACAATTGATTTTTAAAAGAGTGTCATTTGTTTTTTTAATGATCAACCTAGTATTGACCATCATAGGCACAGTAACTACATTTTACAAATAGATTGAAATGTTTGTTCACTAAAGTGAGATCCACAGTCACCCTGCAGTTCAGCAGGTATGCCCCAAGTATATTAGAGCAATGCCTTTCTGACAAGGGAAGACTTTAACCTGTTAACATTCTAGAATGATACTTATTATATGACCTCTTTGGAAGCATTTGGATAAAATCAAATAGTTAGGTTTTTTTTAATGTATTTTGTTTGTTTGTTGAGACAGGGTCTCCCTGTAGCCCCAGCTGTCCTGCAACTCACTATGTAGATCAGGCTGACCTTGAACTCACAGAGATCCGCCTGCCTCTGCCTCCCCAGTGCTGGGATTAAAGGCGTGTGCCACCATGCCCAGCATAAAAATATTCTTATTCGGTATAATTTGGATTATAATTGTATTAAAAATCATTTTTAGATTGATGTGACCTATTTTAAATATTCTAAAAGGAACTCTAATTTGGAGTGCCTCTATTTTAGATCCAAACTCCTAGAGTCCAAAACAATAAAACTTCTCCCTATTCAGAAAAAGGGAAGAATGTTAACTGGATGCAACCAATTGAATTACTAAGTTGCTACTGATGTAAGACAATCCTAGATATGATGGTCAATCTGTTGCAACTGCCTATATTTTGTGTCATAGCATAACTAGTCCCCAAACCATCTGCTTTGTAAATGTGGGTAGATGCCCCACAGTATGGGACCCACCCAGCCCTTTCCACACTATATTAGCAATGACACAAGAGGAAACAGTGATCAGCAGTGTCCTCAGCAGGAAGGTAAGTCAAGGTCATTGTGACACCTAGCATAATGTTCCCCAGCTCCTGGAGCTCCAGGCCCAGACCCCTTTGGTTGTCTGCACACAGTATGTCTCATCTCCTTTCTGTTCAGACTAAGCAAAAGTGCCTTGAAACAAAGAAGGTATGCATTATAAAGCTTGAGCTTGCACAGTCCAGCAGGTGGATGCACGCACACGCACTGTCCTAGTTTGTCTCTCCATTGCTATAACAAAATACTCTGACCAGTACCCACTTGGGGAGGAAAGGGTTTATTCAGCTTACATCTCCCAGGTCGTAGTTCATCAGGGAGCCTGAGGTAGGAACTCAGGGCAGGAACCTGGAGGCAGGAGCTGGAGCACAGGCCATGGAGGAACTCTGCTTACTGGCTTGCTCTCCTGGTCCCTGCCTTCTTATGCAACACAGGCCCACCTGCCCAGGGATGGCATCATCCACAGTGGGCTGGGCCCTCCCACATCACTCAACAATCAAGAAGATGCCCCACAGGCCAGTCCTATGGAGGCTGTTCCCTAATTAAGGCTCCCTCAGCTCAAGTGTGTCAAGTTGACACTAAAGCTATCCAGCACAGCTGACCCCTTGTCAACTTGACATACAAACACATCACTATTAAACCATAACCTTTCCAATTCTTATCCTCAAGTTATGATGTTAACATTGTTAATACAACATAAGACAGTAAAACCTTAAAAGCCCCATATGAGTCCTTAAAAAATCCAAACACTTAAAAGCCCACGGTCTCTTTTAAAAGTCTCTTAACTGTGCAACGGACCAGGGTTCAATTCCCAGCACCCACATAGCAGCTATTGTTTATAACTCCAGTTCCAGAGGATCCAATGCCCTCTTCTGTCCTCCTCAGGTACTGCAGGACACAGGTGCATTAACACACATGCAGGCACTGCAGGACACAGGTGCACTAACACATATGCAGGCATAACACTCATACACATAAAGTAAAAATAAATGAAAAAAATCTCTTAACTGGGGGCTCCTGTAATATCCAAAACAAGTACTGTCTTATTTCAAAGGGAAGAATCGGGCACACCTAAGCAAACCCAAAGTCCAGCAAAGTAGCTCAAGGCTGGACATCTGGGATTCACTCACGATTTGGGCTCCAAAGGGTTCTGTCAGCTCCACTTCTCTGACTCTGCCATCCACAGCACACACAGCTCATCTCGCAGACCCAGGCCAGCTCCATTCCACACCTACTGCTGTCCTTGGTGGTCGTCCCATGGTCCCAGCATCTTCCAAAAGCTGGGGTCTCCACTGAAACTGAGGCTACACCTTCACCAATGGCCTCTTCTTGCCTCTGGGGTGCAAAGCCTCAGATTCTCTCTATGACCCCTTTAATCCTGGGGTCTTCACTGCAGCTGAAGCTGTATTTTCACCTATGGCTTTCCTGGCCTCTCAGAATGCCAAGCCTCAGCTGCTCTCTGTGACCCCTTCACACCTTCAACACCAGAACCATGCAGGAAACTCTTACAACTTACCAAGTCCTGTTTATCCTGTGTGCTGACTCTGAGGAAATACCTCCCAGAAGACTTCACCACAGTGATGCTGGTATCTTGTTACTTACAGCTGATATTTCAGCCCCAGCTAACCAGCATCAATTGTCCCAGTAAAGCAAAGGTTTTGCTTCAGGTTCTGGTCTCTTCTTAATCACAGCTGATTCTTCAGCCCCAGCCAATCAGAACCCACAGATTCTCAATCTAAAATCTCATACAAACAGCCCTGACAGTCTCCGCTTCCCCTTGAAGCTTCACAAGCCAGGCCTTCATCATCCACAACTCTGTCAACGTAACTGTTCCAAGCTCCACAGCAACAAACTCTAAGCATGCAATGGCTTTTCCAGCCCAAAGTTCCAAACACTTCCACAATCCTCCAATGTTAGGTCTGTCACAGCAATATCCCAGTCCTGGTTTGTCTCTCCATTGCTGTAACAAAATCTCTGACCAATACCAACTTGGGAAGGAAAGGGTTTATTCAGCTTACATCGCCCAGGTCACAGTTCATCGCCCAGGTCACAGTTCATCCGGGAGACCAAGGTAGGAACTCAGGGCAGGAACTTGGAGGCAGGAGCTGGAGCACAGGCCAAGGAGGAACGCTGCTTACTGGCTTGCTCTCCTGGTCCCTGCTCAGCTTGCTTTCTTATGCAACACAGGCCCACCTGCCCAGGGATGGCACCACCCACAGTGGGCTGGGCCCTCCCACATCATTCAACAATCAAGAAGACGCCCCAGGGACATGGCCACAGGTTGGGTTCCCTCAACCCGGGTGTGTCAAGTTGACACTAAAGCTATCCAGCACACACACACACACACACACACACACACACACACACACCAACCACACATCAGGTAAGCCCTGTAGAATACTCTGGTATTTAGTTCCATTGCTTTCACAGCAATCTTCAATTCTCCTGAGGTTATTATGGGCAAAGTGTTTCTTGTTTATAAGGTATTTTAATATTTTTTTTATTTTGTTTTATGTGTATGAGTATGTTGCCTGCATGCATGTAAGTACGCCTATGTTGTGCAATGCCCATGGAGGTCAGAAGAGGGCATCGGATCCCCAGGAACTAGAGTTACAGATGGTTGTTAGCTGCCATGTGGGTGCTAGGAATTGAACTCATGTCTTCTGCAAGAGTAGCTAGTGCTCCTAACCACTGAACTCTCTCTCCAACCCCCTTAAAAAGGTATTTTAAATGGAAATGGTGGCTCACCTGTAATCCCCAAACTCAGGAAGGCTGAGGCAGGAGGACTGCCAGTTTGACACCAGCCTAGGTTACAAAAACTTTCCAAGCCAGTCTGGGCTATATTCACAAACAACAAACAAAGGCATTTATGAGGAATTTAACTTAAATACTTTACTTATAAGGTATTGAACTTATCTCAACCATGCAGAAATAAAAGTTTAAGGCCTCTGGCTTTAGGATCCCCAAGTGGTGTGACTACTGTGTATGCTCACCTTGTTCGACACTGCGGGTGGAGCACATATACACCATCCTGGTATTTATCTTGCACAGTTTCCCGGTCTAGATTAGCCAGGGCTCTGGCAGCATGGGAAGCCTTCATAATGTGGTGAGATTTCATGGCTTTTGCCATAATGGAAACCCAGCCTGAAGGAAAGAACAGATATCCTAAATACTGATACAAGCCAGTCATGGACTATACATGGTTCAAACAGTAAAAGGACAGAGGAAGCCAGCCTCAAGTGTCTGTCCTGGGTGGGGAAGCCCAATCACTTCAGCTCCATGCTGCCCTCAATGCCTCCCATAGCATAAAACTGTGACATCCCCAGCCACAGACCCTCTGAGGGATCTCCAGGTAGGAAAGGGTACAAGAGCTACCTTTCCTACTTAGAAAATCTTAACGCACATGAATGACAGTTATTACAGGTGAGGTCAGTAAAGGGAATGCCAAGATGTTTTGCTTTAATAAGGATTCTAATATTCAGTGGTTAATACTATTCCATACTGATCAACAATTATATCAGCATCCTTTAATGCAAATAAGGAAACTATTTATTTGACACATGGTCTCACTGGCTGGCCTGAAACTTGCTATGAAGACCAGGCTGGCCTCGAATTCACAGAGCTCTATCTGCCTTTGCCCACTGAATGCTAGGAATAAAAATATATGCCACTATACCAAGCCCAGGAAACTATTTCTTAATCAAATGTATTTTATAAACAAAAACCTTATCAATTCTAGAGTCCAGGAGGAGGAAATTTTTTAAATTTTTTACTTCTAAAAATTATGTTTAAAGGAGGCAAACAGAATACAGATGATACTGTGTACACTATGATTTCATAAATATGTAGGAAAGTGCATGCATGCACACACACAAGAACACACAAAGATCTGAAAAGATACAGAACTCCAAACTCATCAAAGGTCATTACCTCTCAGGGGCAGGTGAGTGGAGAGGGCTCTGTAAAAAAGGTAGGTTTAACTTTTTTGCTGTACATGTTTTCTTAAGTACTTACAAGAGCCAACTTGAATATTATATATATGAAGTAAAGCAGAACATGGGCCTTGAGGTCAGTAAGACTTGGGATCAAATTTCTGTTGTCTGCTTGTGTGCTGTGAAATGTCAGTCAACTTATTTTGCAGCTCTGATTAGTGACCTCCCGGTGTAGCTGTACCAACCTACACAACAGCTTATATGAGGGAACCACCTTTCATGTGAACCCCACCAGCTGGACTGCCTGAGCCAATACTTAATGGAGCAGATGCACACCCTCCCTCAGAACTCGGCCCAAATTTCAGTTAGTGAGCAAACACAGGGCTCTGGGATAGTTTGATCCACAGCAGCCAACAGCTGCTGATTTTCTTCTGTGAATTATTCATTTCCTCCCCTACCATAGTTGCAGTTTATATTTTACTTGATAAAAATTGTGTGTGTATATATAATATATAAAATGATGCGTAATACATGTCTATATAATATATATTGTATATATAATGGTGCACAATATTTGTGTATGTGTAATACATGTTATATATATTAAATGGTGTGCGATATGTTTGTGTGTATAATATATATTGTATATATAATGGTGTGCAATGTTTATTTATGCATGTTATATATAATATATAAAATGATGTGTAATGTGTTTGTTTATATATAAAATGTACATTGTGTGCAATGTTTATGTATAATATAATAATGTATAATATATAAAATGATATGTAATATGCTTGTGTGTATAATATATAGTATATACAATGGTGTGCAATGTTTGTGTATGTATAATATGTTATATATAATATATAAAATGGTGTGTGATATTTTTGCATGTGTGCATATGTGTGGAAGTGTGTGCCTATTACGACTTGAGTTTGGAGCTCAGAGGAAGGACAACTTGCAGAGTTGGTTCTCTCCTTCCACCACATGGGTTCCAGGAATAGAGCTCAGATTATCAGGCTGGACAGCAAGTACCCTTACCTACCGAGCCATCACGCCAGCCCATCATATTCCTTTAAAATACGTACTCATTATGTATTATTGCACACACCACTTTTTTGTAGTGAGACACTTAAAATCTATTCTTCTGGCAATCTTCAATAATACAATATACATTGTTATTAGTTCAAACTGTCTTCCCAATGCCTCGGATAAGCAACATATCTGCATACAGACTGGAAAAGGGACATAGGACTAGCTTTCAGCTACTGAATGCATGCTGGGCCTAGTGACAGGCCCGGACTTCTCACATACATAGATTAGAAACCTTGCTCCAGCTCAGACACCTGAAACAAGAAAGGTTAAAAGCAGTGGTCTAAATTTCTGACTTCAGAAGCTGTAAAATGAAGGCCAGGCCTGGTAGTGCATGGCTGAAATCCTAATACTCAGCAGGCAGAGGCAGGACTATTAGGAGTTCAGGGTCATTCTCAGCTCGTGAGCTCAAGGCCAGCCTGGGCTACCTGAGATACGACAGGGGAGGGGAAGACAAGGATAAACAGGGGGAGAGAGACAGCGGGGGGGTGGTGGTAGAAGGAATGTTCTCGAGAGCTCACAATACAAAGGAAGGAGGGAAATAATGAAGAGTAGCTTTATATTTTCTAAGAGTCATAAAAACTCATGGATGTAACAGGCCATATTTAGTTCTACAAGGCTAATATATTTGCCATTGCATCCTTTATAGGAAGCTTGCTGACCTCTGAAATTGATTTCATTAAAATTAAAACCTGCTCATTTGAATATACTCTTATGCATCAATCATAGTTTCTAGCATGTGTGGGGGTCCATGAACACGTGTAGGTGTATGTGTATGTATTTTTGTACTCTCCTTTAAATATGTGTGGATATCCATGTCAGTTTTCTGGGCCCTCATTACCAAAGCTGAGACAATTTGGCATCAGCTTATTAAGTACAGCAGTAAATTATAGACCTTAAAATCTTTTTTTAAAACTTTCTAACAACTTTTTATTTTTATTTTATGTATAGGTGTGTATTGCCTGCATGTAGGTAAGTGCACCCGTGTCATGCAATGCCCGCGGACGTTGGAAGAGGCTGTCGGATCCCCTGGGACTGGAGTTATGGACAGTTGTTAGCTGCCATGTGGGTGCTTGGATTCGAACCTGGGTCTTCTGCAAGAACAACCAGTGTTCTTAACTGCTGAGCCATCTCTCTAGCTCCTAGACCTTAAAATCTTAAAGAGGAATCCATGCGCTCCTACTGACAGGGAGGGAAGGAAGGAAGGAAGGAAAGGAAAAGAGGGAGAAAAGGAGAGAAATATCTCTTCACAGAAGGTTCAGGAGTTGCATGGGGGGAAATTAATTATTTAATGGGACTCTTTTTGAACTGACTACGCCTCTTGGTTAACTAAATCACATCAAAAATTCATTAAACAATTATACAGTCATCGTGGCAAAACCTGCTCGCCGATGACCATCCACGAGTGGTTTCCCACCTGTGGAATAGCTACATTCCAAAAAGTTCCTTGCCCCAACCCAAACAACATGTTCTAAGGACCATGATAACCCTAAGCAAAGTTTTAAGTCTACTGAAAAATTCATGTACTGTGGTGGGGGGGGCACACAAAGGACTGGATCCAGCACACTGCACGCACAAAGCTATTACCTGAGCGGACGATAGCAGGATGAAGATGCTCATTCAAGGCCATGTTCCCAATGATGCGCATTATGTTTCTCTGCACTTTAGGGAAGTCCTTGTGAATATGGTACAGCCTCTGCAGTAGCTGTAAGCCTCCATGCGCTTCGATGTGATCACAGTGTGAGGATATCTAGCATGGTCAAGGAAAGCTCACATCATGCTGCCGTTTGCCTCACAAGATGACAAAGCATGCTGATGAGGACAGAGGCCAGAGGCTGTGTCCAGGTAATGTGCCCACATCATTCTGGAGGGCATTCCTAATTTCTGACATGAGACACCCTAGACTCATTTCTCTGAGAAAAACTTCCTTTTGGGGGGAGAATGATGAATAGAGACCAAGATATAAGTGCCAGGAGTACGTGTAGCTCCTGGGTATCTTTGTTTCTTTGGTTTTACAGATGCTGTTCTAGCTACTTTTTATTGCTGTGATGAAAACACTGACCAAAACCAACTTGGGGAGGAAAGGGTTTATCTGGCTTATAGCACAGTCCACCATCAAGGGAAGCCAGGGCAGAAACTCAGGGCAGGACAGACCATGGAGGAACACTGCTTATGGCTTGCTCCCCTGGCCTGTGCTTAGCCTGCTTTCATAGACAACACAGGACCCCCTTGCCCAGAGGTGGCACCGCCCACAGTGGGCTGGGCCCTCCCATATCACTCAACAACCAAGAAAAGGTCCCACAGGCATGGCTGCAGGCCAGTCCAATGGAGGCAATTCCTCAACTGTGGTTCCTCTGCATGTATGTAATAGAATTAAGTAGACAAACAGACCTAAAGTGGTGAGTTTGGAACCCTGTACGGTGCTTCTGGTGGTATAAGCTGACCGCAGCACTGGCCTCAGCAGCAGTTCCTGCACCCCACCCTAGGTATGCCTCATGTACATCGTCACAGGAGAAGGGGAACTGTGCGTGCTTAATGTGCTTCCTGTGTACTGCTCACACTTCACATGTGAGCATAACCACATGTTAGCCTTATTCTTTTTTTAAAATTAAACTACAGCTGGATGGGGTCGCATACAGACTCACAGAGATCAGAGCAACACTCTAAATAAACAAATCAAGTGACCATCATATAAAAGGCTCCACAATTCCAAATGCATAAAATCATTGATAGTTATAATTTAGGTCATCTAATGTTTCCCTTTAGTCTCTATCTTTTCTTCTTTTTAATTTTTATTTATTACTTTTATTTTATGTGTATGAGTGTACTGCCTTCAGGTAGGTAGGTGCATCAGTGTCATGCAATGCCTACAGAAGTCAGAAGAGGGCATCACATCCCCTGGAACAGGATCTGCCATGTGGGTGCTGGAAATCGAACCCATGTCCTCTCCAAGAGTAGCCGGTATTCCTAACTGCTAAGCCACATCTCCAGTCTCAATTCACTATCTTTTCTATCTGCTACATCTTTGCTGTGTTTTAAAGGAAGTCAACTCTCTGATGATCTGTGTGAGATGATCTTGGAATGGCAAAATTAACTTCATTTTGTTCTAGCTGACTTTTGCTTTACCCTGTGTTTTTGTCCAGCCATTCCCACCACAGCCAGCCCTGAAGGCTGCACCTGTAGTTTAAGAAGGCGCATTGTTTCTACAGTACTGGGAAACTTATAAGTAGCCCCCAGCAGGGGTTCTCCCACACAGCTATACACTCAGCATATTCATTGAGTCCACTGTTTTTTTTTTAATTTTTGATATTTTATTATTATTTTATGTGTATGAGGGTCTTGCCTGCATGTATGTAAGTACGCCCAAGTTGCATAATGCCTGCAAAGGGCAGAAGAGGGTGTCCAAATCCCCTGGAACTGGAGTTACAGACAGTTGTCAGCCACCACAGAGGTGCTGGGAACCAAACCCAGGTCCTCTGTAAGAACAGCCAGTGCTCTTAACTGCTACAACCCCTCAGAGAAACATATTCTTCTTAACCAGAACTTTTTCTTAACTGAAAACCTCTTTGTTAACTTACCTGCCTCTGGTCTGGTTAACTACAGTGATCTGGTGTAACTATGGTTATTGGCTTTGCCCCTGGCATGATATAATTGTAGTTTAAGCTTTATAAACCCCACTCTGCCTCCCCTTGGGGTTGAGAGCTCTTTTGGGTGTTAACCCCCCTCTCTGACCGCCAGCTAATAAAGGACTCTAGAGTTGACCCAAAACTGGGTGGCATTTCTTGCTCTGTTTCACAACTGAGGGAAAGGACAGCACAACTAAAAGGCTGTCATACTTTGATTGAGCCATTTCCTTTATATGCAATTAAGAATTCTAAAAACAATTGAACAAAAATGAAACTCATGCATTTGGTGCCAAATTGTGCTTATTCTAATAGTTAAAAGTGGAATTTTTAATAATATGTTATTCTTTGGTAATTTCATACATGCATACAATATATTTTGATGATATTTGCCCCCTACTCCTCCCCAACTCCTCTCAGACCCACCCCTCAACCCTCCACCCCTCTCAACGTCATGTCCTACAAGATTTTTTCCAATGTAACCATAAAAAGCAGTATTTTGAAAATGCAAGTTACCTCAGAATGCTTTACAATAGCTTCTAAACAGAACATTTCCACAGTGGCAGAAGGAACCTCTCCCAAACTTTCTACATAAGGAAGTCCATTTCCTCCAAAACACCATAATCCACCCTGAAATTAAGATAGTTAAATTTTTTACAAAAACTATTTTTTTAGGAAACAAATCACTGTACTACATACAATCTTAGAAAATTCAAGTATGTAAAGATTTCAAAATACACTGGAAATTTAGACAGAACAGTATGCAAATTACTACCACTTACTGGAACAGAAAACACATGCAGTCTCTCCCAGAACAATTTCTACATCTTTTTCTCATTGCATAGTATACAGGCTATGGAATCTTCATTCTGGCCCCATCTCTTTTAGCACTTACTAATTTGTATGACAAATCTACTGAAAGCCTAGTAGTCAAAAAAAAAAAAAAAATTAAAGGGAAAAACGGGAGCCAGAGAGATGGCTCAGCAGCTAAAAGCACTTCCTGTTCTTCAGAGACCTGGGTTCAGTTCCCAGCACCCACATGACAGCTCACAACCATCTGTAACTCCAGTTCCAGGGGATCTGACTACACCAGGCACACACATACATGTAAGCAAAACATTCACCACATAAAATAAAAATAAATAAATCTTTAAAAGGGAAAAGCATTTCCCACAAATGGAGTTTCTGGAGTGCTTTGGTAACTGAACTTCTACTTAAAGTTTCAGGGTCTGTCCACGGAAATCTTTGCTTCAAGACGACAAAAACAGAGGCCCAGTAACAAAGCAAGAATCCCACTTCTGCTCAGAGCTCTGGGGCGGGGGGAATAAGATCTGTTGGAAGCCAGAATCCTGTGGTCATACCATCTCCAAATGGATCTGAATTTACCTGCCTCAGTGCACAGCTACTCCAGGAAATGCACGTAATGATCTAGTCTTAACAAAGTGGACTGGGATATCAATATGGATGGGGAAGCAAAACAAAACCTGCTCTGAGGAGACAAATCTATCATCAATGGTCTGTGGGACTCCCTAGGAAACAATCAGCTCATCCAAAAGGAAGCCGGGGGTCCAAATGCACAACCCAGGGAAGAGATAATCACAGAGGAGAGCCAATGCCAGCAAAGGTGGGACTCGATACCCCAAAAGGGTGTCAGAAATAAGAATCAGAAACATTCTTAAAACTATTAAAGAAGTGAAAGACAGAAAAGAAGCCAGCATGGAGGACTAGGATGCTGTGGAGAAGACATGCTAACAGCACACACAGGGGCTGTGGAGAAGGGGGAAGAAAAGACTTAGTTTGTGCTCCAACACCCAGAGCTGCTGACAGCTGGGCATGTGAAGGGCTGGGCAGGACTGCTAGGCTCCAACTTCAGCAAGAGAGCAGCTGTGCCATTCACTGAAATCAAAGGTCAAAGGCAAAGAGTTGCAAGAAGGAGAGTAGGTCCTGCATTCAATATCCCTTCTACACATCTAAAGAGAGGAGGCTGAATATTCAATCTAGAGCTGAAGTTATGTTGTGCAGAACTTTCTCGGAGACAAAGCCTTCCATCTTGGAGGGACATTATTAAGATACAGGATGTTCTAAGGGAGGTGAAGCATTTCACTGTTCAGGGAAGCTCCCTAAGCCCAAGAAGTAAACAGCTCAAAAGCTTCAGGAAGTCCTTTAGGGGTGACCAGATTCCCTAGGTCCCTTCCTCCCCAAGCACAGATAAGCCCTAAGGACTACTGAGAGACGCCCTCAGACTAGCTGAGCTGCCTGGAAAGGACACTCTCCAACTCATAGAGCTGCCTGCATGCTGTACGGTGAACTCCAGGTTTCCAGCTTTCCTGAGCTGTCACACATGCTGGGATTGGGTTTTGATAATGCAGCTATCTTTGAGTCATTTCTGCTCCTGTAAGTAACCCCTCATTCATACCCCTGTAAACAACCCCAATAAAATCCCTTAGTTCAAGGGTCAGGCATGGTGGCACATGCCTTTAATCCCAGCACTCAGGAGGTAGAGGCAGGAGGATCTCTGCGAGATCAAGGCCAGACTGGTCTACATAGTGAGTTCCAGGCCAGCTGGGGCTACAGGAAATCCTGTCTCAAAACAAAATAAAACAAACAAAAAAACAAAACAAAAAGCCATTGGTTCACCAAGTTGGACTTTGATGGCACCCTTACTTTGGTCTGTCATTGGTTCCCTATCTGAAGTAGACATCTGTTCACGTCTCCCCAGAAATAATAGTGTCACACAATAGGTTAGAAGACAGAGCTAGAGATACCAACTCAGCAAAGGCATACAGATGATGCTTCAAACCATGCAAATTCCTTTTTTTTTTCTTTGCTAAGAACAAACCCAGGGTCTCAAGCACGCTAGGTAAGCACTCTACCACTAAGCTACACCCCTAGTCCAATCTATTGATTCTAGAGATGCAATTAAGAGTTCCAGTCAGGCGTGCTAGCACATGCCTTTAACCCCAGCACTTGGGAGGCAAGAGGCAGGTGGATCCCTGTGAGTTCAAGGCCAGCCTGGTCTACATATTGAGTTTCAGGCCAGCTGGGGCTACAGGGAGACCCTGTTTCAAAAAGACCAAAAAAGGGGAAAAAAGATTATTCTGGCAATATAAGATTTCCCTCATGTGAAACTAAAAATGACCTCATACACTGAGCTAAGGGCTCCTGAATCTCTTGTATACTTCTGTGACTGTTTATCTTTCCCCTTGTGATTCCTGACACCATGTAGTCCAGAGCACAGAACAAAGGCTGTCATTGGGCAAGTGGAGGTCCTAAATGCTAGGCTTGGCACAGCATCCTAAAGAGTGTGTTCTCCACCAGCCACTGAATGAAGACACGAGCAAACCTTCTGCGCAGCCAGGCTCTGACTGCTCTCGTTGAGAGCCACGTTCGTGAAGTGCTGGATACACTCATCTAGCTCTGTGTGAGGCAACAAGGCCAGCAAATGTCGGAGTTCTTCCTCCGTGGAAAAATCCTGAAACCAAAGGAAACCAAAGTCTTCAAAGTCTTCAGGCATAAACTCAACACCTGATTACAACAGAAAATAAAAATACAAAGAAGCTCAAACAAAACAAAACAAAACAAAACAAAAACCAGAAAAAAAAAACAACAAAACAACAACAAAAAGCCAGGTATGGTGGCACACGCCTTTAATCCCAGCACTCGGGAGGCAGAGGCAGGCAATCTCTGTGAGTTCAAGGCCAACCTGGTCTACATAGTGAGTTCTAGGACAGCTGGGGGGCTACAGGGAGACCCTGTCTCAAAAAGACCAAAAAATAAATAAATAAAAATAAATAAATAATGATTGCTCACATAGAAACTTGAGGTGTGTTATTTTCTAGTCTGAGAAAGTACTGAAGAAGCCTGCATTTAAAGCATGCTTCTCAGGGCTGGAGAGATGGCTCAGCAATTAAGAACACTGGTTGTTCTTGCAGAAGACCAGGTTTGAATCCCAGCACCCACATGGCAGCTAACAACTGTCGGTAACTCCAGTTCCAGCCTCTTCTGTCCTTCGCAGGCATTGCATGACACAGGTACACTTCCTACATGCAGGCAATATTTGCATACACATAAAATAAAATAATAAATAAAATATTTTAAAGCATGCTTCTGTGGCAGACATTCTTCCTCTGGGGGCATTTTCAACACCCAGAAAACATCTAGCAATGTCTGGAGACAATTTTGTCTGTTACAACTCGGGGTGTTCCCAGCATCTAGGGAGCAGAGTCCAAGAACGTTGCTGAATGTCCTACAATATTCAGAACAGCCTCCTCCAGTAAAGAACTATGTGACCTAAATCATCAAGTATTAAGGTTGGGAAAATCTGATCTATACGATGCACAAGGTACCCTCTCTTAGATGCTAACATGCTATGAAGTCAGTCAATGGTGCAGACGTTCTCAAGACCAAAGGCAGAAAACAGCAGAGCAACGAACCTCGCAAAGAATCACAGGGCTGCATGGAAACTAAGATTGTAGTTTTGTGATCTAGAGTACCTGCGCAGGAAAACTAGGCAACAACCTGTTTGTGAAAGGGTTTTGTTCTTTTTTTTTTGTACCCAAAGGAGATAATACATGAAACCATTTTTCCCAACCTGGGTTACTGTGTTTGCTTACTTCTTTTAAAGATGGCAAAGGAGGTGGCGGGAGAAAAAAGCGAAGATCACTCTCTTTGCTTCGTGCCAAACCAATAAGGGTTCTCCAGTCAGAGGCTTGAGCAATTAGCCTGTACTGGTAATCTGTTGTAAAAGTACAGATTTTGTCAACACCAAGATTAGTTTACAATTATCACACGATTAAATAAAAAAATTACTTGAAAGCATTCCAGTGCTTAAACTGTCCCACAAGTTTGTAACCCACAACTGCCCAAGTATTTTTTCTTTCAAAAATTTTTTTTATCTATTATTTTTATTTTATGTGTATGAGTGTATTGCCTGCATGTTTGTAAATGCACCCATGTCATGCAATGCCCTCGGAGGTCAGAAGAAGGTGTCAGATCCCCTGGAACTGAAGTTATAGATAGCTGTTAGCCACCATGTGGGTGCTGGGAATCAAACCCAGGTCCTTTGTAAGAGTGGCCAGTGCTCTTAGCTGCTGAGCTATCTCTCCAGCCCCCCAAGTATTTTCTCACAACTTTGGCTGCACCTACACTACCGATAGGCCCAACACCCAATGTAGTTCACAGGTATCACCAACCATACAATTCTCTTCAGCATTTCTGAGGCCAGATCATATTCTGAGTAACTTTTTCAAAATCTGAAGCTCAAATGTGAAAACTGGTAAGTCAGAATCGATTTCTTTTCAATGATCCCATAATTCAGTTTGTTTGAGGGCCACTTGTGGTACCAGAGATGCAGTTAAGCTCCATGTCTGGAGGGGGCAGTGTCATGCTTCAACACTCATGATGGTCTTGAATGGTTGCTCTGCACTCCCAGATGGCAACGCTCTGATTTAATTTAGACGTGGTGGCACACGCCTGTAGTCCCAGCACTGGGGAGGCAGAGGAAGGCAGATCTCTGTGAGTTCAAGGCCAGCCTGGTCTACATAGTGAGTTGCAGGCTAGCTGGGGCTAGTTTATTACATATCAAAATCCAATTCCAACACTGAGGCTGACATTCTTTTGGAGGATGGCAGCCCATAACCTGGACGAGTACTCCAAGGTGGGTGAAGAATTTGTAAAACCTACATGCCAGGGGGCTTCTAGGCTTTTCTGATAACAGTATGGAATGGAGCCAGGGAAGACGATTTGGGAAGAAAAAAAAGATTTGTTTCTTTAGGTTTCCACTGACTCTTAACCAGCATGTACCGTGAGTCAGAACAATGAATCACCTCGCCTCTTTTCGGAAATTTTTCTCCACAAACATTCTTTTCTAATGTCTATTTTTTTTCTTAGTCACGGGGACCAAATCCAGGACCTTGCACATGCTAGGTAAACACGCTAACACTGAGTTACATACCCAACTTTACCTATTGTTTTCTTTCAAGATGACAATTCTACTAATAAGGTAAAGTTTTATCTAAGTACAAAAATAAGAGCAGATTTCAGCTCTTATTCAAGTACTTGTGATTCAAGTACTTGCATGTAGGTTTTGCAACTACAATTATTTAAAATATTTCTTTAAAAACATATACAGGCATACAAGTCAGGTATGTTTAGCTAATTATCAGTATTGACAGGAAGTCAATTGTAAAAGTCAGGGCAGGGGCTGGAGAGATGGCTCAGCAGCTAAGAGTACTCACTGCTCTTGTAGAGGTCCTGGGTTCGATTCCTAGCACTCACATGGCAGTTAACAACTGTCCCTAATTCCAGTTCCAGGGGATCCAACATCCTCTTCTAGCCTCAGCAGATACTACATGACAGATGTATGATGTATACTTACAAATATGCAGGCAAGACACCCATACATAAAAGTTTGTGGAGTTTTTTTATTTTTGTTTTTTGAGACAAGATTTCCCTATAGCCCCAGTTGCCTGGAACTCACTATGTAGACCAGACTGACCTTGATTTCACAGAGATCCACTTGTCTCTGCCTCCTGAGTGCTAGGCATAAATGTATGCGCCACCATGCCTGGCTTATACACATAATTTTTTTTTTTAATTAAAAGAAAAAGTCAGATCAGGTGTGGTGGTGCACACTGGTTTGTTTTTTGTCTTTTTGAGACAGGGTGTCCCTGTAGCCCCAGCTGTCCTGGAACTCACTATGTAGACCAGGCTGGCCTTGAACTCACAAAGATCCGCCTGTCTCTGCCTCCCAAACACTGGGATTAAAGGCGTGGTGGTGCACATTTTTAATCCCAGCACTTGGGAAGCAGAGGCAGGCAGATCTCTGTGAGTTCATGGCCAGCCTGGTCTACATTGTGAGCTCCAGGCCAGGTGGGACTAGGGAGATCCTGTCTTGTAAAGACCAAAAACCAAAAAAAAAAAAGAGAAAAAAGAAAGAAAGAAAAAGTCAGGGCAAAGCGTATGGCACAGCAGACAATTAAATGCAAGCAAGTTGCTACATAACTCAGAATCAGGAGTTCATCTCAAGAAAACATATACTCAAACAAAATCTTGTTCTGGTAGAAGATGCACCAGTTTTGAGGTTGCTCTGAGCAAACACATCTGTGCTACCAGCAGCAGCTTTTCTAATATATCACTGGGGCTTCTTCTCAGGTTAAAAAAAAAAATTAAATTTGGGGGGTGGAGAGATGGCTCAGCAGTTAAGAGCACTGACTGCTCTTGCAAAGGACCCAGGTTCAATTCCCAGCACCCACATGGCAGCTACGAACTGTCCTTAACTCCAGTTCCAGGGGAATCTGAAGCCTTCTTCTGACCTCTGCAGCAATGCATGACATGGGTGCACTCACATACATGCAGGCAATACACTCATACACATAAAAAAATAAAAAAATTAAATTAATTTTTATTTTATCTGTATGAGTTGCCAACACATATGTAAGTGCACCCAGAGCATGCAATGCCTACAGGAGCCAGAAGGGGGCATCGGATCCCCTGGAACTAGAGTTAGAATGGGTGTTAGCTGCCATGTGGGTATAGGGAACCAAACCCAGGTTCTCTGTAAACCCACCGGTGCTCTTAACTGCTGAGCCATTTCTCCAGCCCTTCTTGGATTTTTGAAGTATGTGTGTGATTCCTTACTAAAACTGCCTGAATCTTTTTCCTTCCTTAGCCTCATTCTCTTATAGTAGAAACTAAGAGCTACCTAACCACATGCCATTGCCCAAGGGTCTCATTAATTACCATGCCAGTGGTGGGCCTCCGACATTTCCTGCACAGCCTCCAGTCTCATGGCTCTGTTATCCTCCTGGCTCTTCCTTAGGAGCAGCCACACTGGACATTCATGTTCTTCTATGTCAACTGTGCTGAAAGAGTCTTTGCAAAAAGAAAATGACAGACACAGAAGGCACAGCAATGCAAAGAGTTAAGACAGTGTGTGTGGTATATGCATGTGTTCATGTGTTGTACAACTGTGTGTGCAAGTGTGCATGCACATGCATGTGGAAGCTAGAGGTCAACATCCATGGCCTTCTTCGGTTGCTCTCCACCTTACTTTTTCTGAGTCAGAGTCTCTCGTTGAGCCGGCTTGCCAGTCCTGCTAGACTGGGTGCCAGTAGGCCCAAGGACCTCTTTGTCTGTGTCTCCCAGACTCTGGGAATATAGATGCATGATACTGCCCCAGGCTGTTTACGAAGGTTCTGAGGATCCCAGCTCAGACCATCACACTTGCAGGCAAGCACTTTGCTGACAGAGCCTTTTTCCCGACTCCACAGCAACAGTTTGTACTTTTATTTTAGATGGTAATCTGTAAATGTCTCGAATGTGTAACAGGAGCATTAAATCTCTAATCAGATACAATGACCAAAATGTATAATCTTAGCTCTGCTGTATTATTTTTTCATGTTTATTTCAAGTACCTTATGTGTACTTTTGTTTTAGTTTCACAGTCTTTGGTATCTTTCTATATGTGGTCATTTTTTTATCTTTTCCACTAAAAAGATTTATTTTGACATAAGATTCAATATAGAAAGCACTGAAAGAATGATACATGAACCTCCAAATCCTATTGCACATAACATCACTGTAAACTTATCATAAATGTTGGAACCCCAGTCTGGGGTACCCAATGATACTTGAATCATCCACACTCACATGTGTAAACTGAGAAGAGTCCGCAGACATGATGGCATTTTACCCTTTCCCAGCTCTACCTGCACCTCGTAAGAGCAAATCTGTTATCTCACAGAAGCACAATGTTATCATGCCCAAGAGTACTCAAAAAAGATCTAAATCCAGTCTACTGCCACATTCAATAACCCCAATATCTTTAAAAGCTATTTTTAGAAGCTGGGAGTGGTAGCTCACACCTTTAATCCAGCACAGGGAGACAGAGGCAGATCTCCGAGACAAACAAAACAATTATTTTTAAAAGCAGGATTTGATATGTTCTCTTTAGTCTCTTAACTCTAGAAAGCTTTCCTGCCTATTCTTGATGATGCCAACTGTATAGAGAGCGCAGTAGAGCATTTTAGAGCTAACTCCACACTGGAGGTTAGATTGATTTAAAATCTGCATTTTTTTTTTTTTGGTCTTTTTTGAGACAGGGTCTCCCTGTAGCCCCAGCTGTCCCGGAACTTACTATGTAGACCAGGCTGGCCTTGAACTCACAGAGATCCACCTGCCTCTACCTCCCGAGTGCTGGGATTAAAGGTGTGCGCCACCACACCCAGCTTAAAATCTATATTTTTGATGCACTATTCTCCATCTAAGAAAACATGGGAGTTATTTTATAACAAATTTAAAATTTGAATATCTCACCAAAAGAATAGTGTATATACTTAATCTCAACAGTTATTATAGCAACAGAAATGGAAGAAAGCTGTCCAAAGTATTAAGCTGTTTAAATACAGCCTAAGAGAATGTTACTTAACTAATTTCCCATAATAATCCCAACAATATGAGCATAAGAATGTTTCTAAATCTTAGGGTGGTCAGTGAAATGACTCTCAGATTACTGATGAGGATCCAACTACATGTCTGACACTTACCGTCAAATGGACTCCTCAGTATCCTGGCTGATATTGTCAACACTTTTCTTACTGCTTTATGAAGTTCACGTCTTGTCTGCCAAACAATCCCTAAATGACAAACGCCAAATATGTACTCTTAATATTATGTCCCAATACTTCAAAAAAGAAATGCATAAATGAAATGCCAATGTTTCTCACAAAGAATGTAAAAAACAGCACTTCTGTCTTCTTATCATCACTATCAAATATAAGTAAAGGCATTATGGGAACAGATCTCTAGACTTCAAAGCAAGATCAAGGAAAAAGTGAAAACGGTAACTGTATCTACCATAAACCCTAATGAGTAATACAAGATTATCAATATTCAGGAAAATGTTCCTTGTAAATAGCCTATGTAGACCTGAAATTTGGAAATGCTTTACTAATGAGATTAAACTTCACTAGACAGGGAAATTAAAAGGTGCAGCAACAACAGGAAACTGGAACTGTGAACATGCCCTAGAAGCATGCTGAAAACAGAAAGTGATATAATAATATGGTAATATAATGCTATACATTGTTCAGAGGGAGCAGAGGAGCCTGCCTCTGTTACAGAGCAGGATTGTAACCTGCTCACTGACACATGCCAGCTAACACCACAGAATAGACTGGCGAGGTGGAGTGGGGTGGGGGGTTCTCCAAGCTTCCTGGAGTTGATGGAAAGGTTCTCCTCTGATCTGAAATCTCATATCTATCAAGGACCAAGAGGGTTCCTATGACCTCAGTATTGGGAGGGAGAATGTCCTAACTAGTACAGACTTAGCCTTTGTGACAGATAATAGTAATAAACTGAAAACACACTTATGAATCTGTTGCATGAATTTGATTTACATGAGTCACCCTCCACAGCAGAACTGAACTGACAGCCCCCACTGAAGAGTGAATCCAGGATCAGAATCAAACGGCTGGCTGGCCCCAATACTTTGTCTTAGGGGAGTCAAAGACTTGCGTAAAATATAGAAGGCCCAAATCTGGTCTTCAGCTAATGCTATAGGAGCTTGGTTTTCACAGGCTTAGCTGAGTCTTCGAGGTGGCTGAATCTATTCTGTTAACACTGTGTTTAAATAGATTCATTTCCAAGTTCATTAACTACCTTCCATTTTTCAGAAAGACAGTTACTTTACAACAAACTTACCATAATTTTCGATTTTGTCTAGAGGAATTGTGTCCATATATATATATGATTTCATTTTTTCTCGTTCTACAACCTGAGTATCTAAGGTTAAAGACTTCTGCAGGGCCCTAACTTCATAGGTAAGAAATAGTGAGCCTCTGAAAAAAAGACACAAAAAAGTTCATCACAAATCAGGATCCAACTGGGACACCAGAGTCTTCCACAGTGAACTGCTTTCTCTTTCACTAGGAAACATGACATACAGTAATGTGCACACTCCACTTTATATATGTGTATGTGCATATATGTACATATGTATACACATTCATCTTAGTTTAAAATAACAACCATAGCTGCATGATCATGTCTAGGCAGGAAACAGGACCATTAGCAGTACCATTAGGCACAGTGTGCTCCTCCCTGATCCCAGCTCATTCATCCATCTCTAAATGGTAACAATACTCACAATGTCCTTGCTTTCCTAATAGGTTCACCACCTGGATGTGCATCCCTAACGGCACTCTGTTTTGCCTGATTTTGAACTTCGTGTGAATAGAATCGCACTAGATGTATTCCTTTGTTTAGCCTTATGTTTGTGTGACTCATCCATCTGCTGCGTGTCAATATAGTCTGATTTACATCAGGACATGTAATTCATGTGTGATTCACTCACAAAATAGATTCATTGACCTCAACTTGTATCTACTTTACTGCAGTCAACATTTAGGGCATTTTAGTTTCAATCTACTACAACAATGCCATTACATATTTTATACAGATGCACATATATGTTCCTCTACACAGGCATGTGCCATGCTTTTGATATTCCGTATCCTGGGGCTACTCCATGCTACATAGGTAGATCCCATCTGTTAAGATTTTCAATAGCAAGCCAGGTGTGGTGGCACATGCCTTTAATCCCAGCACTTGGGAGCAGAAGCAGGTAGATCTCTGTGAGATGGAAGCCAGCTGGGACTACAGAGAGACTGTTTCAAAAACAAACAAACAAACAAAAAAAAGATTTTGACTAGTGCTATCATGAAGTCAATCAACATTTTACAGTTGACACTTACCCTAAAATAAGAGATCCAGTAAATTTTACTATATTTCCTTCAAAAAGAAAGGGGAAAAGTCAATGTGATAAATTTCATTTTTTGAAGTATGATACGAAACAGGTGACAGATAAGCATTCCATATATAATTGGATTAAAAGTTGCTGATATTTTGTTATACAATAATATAAATTACATTACATATTATATTATATTTACTATGTGCTATCAATACATGGCTTCTTATTCCAATACAGAGCAACCAAACAATAAGCACTGAGTAAAAAATATGACTTGTGTCAAAATAGGGCTGTCACACAACCCCCCCACCTCAACGTACAGTTCTGCCACCAAATCACGAGTAAACTGGGTCCCTGTGCCAGTGTTGTGTGGCCAAGACCACAGCTGTCCATTGCACACAACCTCCAGGCTCTCCAGCCAGGGATGGGGAACTGTTCCAGCACTAGTAGGACTGTATTGAGGAACTATGTCAGGTGGAGACACAACATGACTTTTCCCAAAGTAATCATGCTGTGATTGATGGTTTAAGCACTAGAGAGTACACGGCCCCATTTAAAATACAGATTACAGATTACAAGTTTAAAATTTTTTGTTCAGATCTTGGAAACACTTTTAATAGTTTTTTTAAAAAATCTTATTGGAAGACTGTTTACCCACTGGATACACACTCATTCCAAAATATCCAAACGTCCCCACTGCTCCATAGGGCTGTTGACAGACACACCACAGTCACAGGCAGAAATCTAGAGTGAGGGCCACCTCCCCACAGAAAAAGGAAAAGCCTCAAGAAATGGCTTCTGAGCCTCCTGCCTTCTTGATGTTGAGGGATCCAGCAACCACACTGTGACCAAGAGGACAGCACAGAGAATGGAGGAGGGAGACAGGAAGATGACTAAGCTGTGAGTCCTACCAGAAACTGTCTATATCAATATCCTGTCAACACACGAAAATCTAAAGCCTTGCTAATTTAAGGCACTGTAATTAAGCTTCTGTTGTATGCCCTGAGCACAAATTTAACTGCTATCTTACCCACTGTGGTTAGGTACAGAGGCCGACCCACAAAAACTTATATAACCTATAACTATGGGATATATAGAGGTAGCTCTTTGCTCAGACTGTCAACACAGGGGTACAGGAGTTCCCTTGACTAACTTCTTATGCATCAATGACACGGGCATTCATCTCAAACTCTAGGGGCCTTGCTGAGGATCTTGAATGAGGACAAAGGGAGTTCCAGGAGGTCTGCAGAGGCAACATATGGAGACTCTTTTCCTTTTTTACTTTTTCTTTTTTTGGTCTTTTTGAGACAGGGTTTCCCTGCAGCCCCAGCTGGCCAGGAACTTACTATGTAGACCAGGCTGGCCTTGAACTCACAGAGATCCGCCTGCCTCTGACTCCCAAGTGCTGGGACTACAAGCGTGTGCCACCACTCCCGACTCTTTTTCAGTTTTTCTAAGATTAAAAAAAAATTTTATGTATATGAGGTGTAAGCACACCTGTGCATGCAATGCCCACAGAGGTCAGAAGAGGGTGTCAGATCCCCTGGAACTGGAGTCACAGACAGTTGTTAGCTTCCATGTAGATACTAGGAACTGAACCCAGGTACTCTGCAAGAGCACCCAGTGTTCTTAACCACTCAGCATCTTTCCAGCCCAACACAGAGCTTCTTGACTGTGTAACTCCTTTGGGAGTTTGGTGGAGCTTGTTTGTTTGTTTCAGACAGGGTCTCCCTGTAGCCCCAGTTGGCCTGGAACTTATTATGTAGACCAGGCTAACCGCAATATCACAGAGATCCACCTGCCTCTACCTCCGGAGCTAACCTGGCATAGAGTATCAGGGAAGCTTCTGGGAGGAGGGCATGGCGGCAGTGTGGGTAGATCAGAGCAGATCCAAGCCTCCAAAGGACAGCGAGAAGCCTCACCTTCTTGCTCAGCACTGTATTACAGAACCTGGTACAGATGCCTGGCTTTTCAAGAGCTTAATAAACCTGTGCTAAATAAAAATGCAGTAAGACTAAAGTTTAGAAGAATGATGTGAACTGACAGAACAAACAGGGGACAAAAGAATTCCTGAGAAAATGGGTCCTGTTTACTCTGGGCTCACAAACAGTATCACCCATTGGTATAGGAAGAAGCAGCGAATGGGAAGCTTATTGTGGGCTGTAGGCTTTGGTGTCCCTCCTCGGGAGAGGGGAAGTGGCCACAGTCAATCACTGCTTCCATTAGGAAACTGTGTTATAACTGTACTCACGGACATGTTTCCAGGAGGTGAGACTTTTGGGCAGGGAAGCAGAGGTTCCTATTCTTCTGCAACAGATGACACAGTAGGCACCAAGGGACATCCTGTGTAGGCAGTGCAGTTGGAACAAGGTTAATCCAGTGTGTACTTACAGTCTTTTATTCTGACTATAAGAACATGTGACCATCACAGAAGACTGCTTGCAATTAGATTACTCAAGACCAAGAAATAAACTTAGCAAATAAAATTTCACTCTTAAAAACTAAAACTAGGGGGCTGGAGAGATGGCTCAGCAGTTAAGAACTGACTGTTCTTACAGAAGACCCAGGTTCGAATCCCAGCACCCACATGGCAGCTAATAACTGTCTGTAACTCCAGTTCCAGGGGATCCAACAGCCTCTTCTTTCTCCGTGGGCATTGCATGACACGAGTGCACTTACCTACATGCAGGCAATACATGCAAACACATAAAAAATAAAAATAGTAAATAAAATATTTTTTTAAAAAACTGACTAACACATTTTGCTGGTGTTTCAATTATTCTTCAAGCTAGCTTTTTAAGAGCTTAATAAAATATGTAGGTATTTAAATGTCTTTTAAAAACATATGCACATTCATTCATGCTTCCAAGTGAAGCCAGACATGGTTGAGCAGGACCTTTGACTTATCTTCACATAGATGGAACTGGTAAAAGAAAGGAGCCAGGAGCTCCTCCCAAACCCATGTGACCCCTGAGGAACAGATCCTCAAATGACCTTAAGTGTAAAAATAAATTGATTT